CAAGTTTTCAGTTGCCAAGTTAAGGCAATCAAGGTCTCTTGTTCAGTGTTTAATCTTTGCTGTCTATTTGTTGTATTGGTTATTATTCTGACAATGATCTTTTGTACCCATCTTAGGTCAATATCTGGGAACTAATTTTACTTTCAAATGGCATAATAGCTGAATAAGCCCAAAAAATCAAGTTGAGTGAACATTATGCTAATTACCTCCTTTATAACAGACGGTGGAAGTAAGATAATCAGATAACAGTGGATGTGACTTGAACTTGGAAAATAGAGGAGCCTTGCAATATCTGCGTGATTTGTCACTGTAAAGTTTGGCTTTTTTTACCTTCTCGTATCAACAACATAACTTGTGCTTGCAAGGTGTGAATTTTCAAATTCTTCGCTTTGTAAGAAACCATTTTTAAGCAAGCGTATCTAATCTAGCGATGGTATTTGGTATTTCTCTCAGTCTTCCATCTAATAATGTTCCATTTTAATCCTTTTTTAGATTGCAATTCTCATGGACAGATTAGAAAAGAGTTCTCATGTCATAATAGAAAGTATGCCCAACAAAAACAGAGAATGATAAAGTGATAATGAAGTTGGACCTTCTAAGGAGGTAGAACAAAGACCTGCTTGAAGAACACTAGCGTTTCACAGAAAAGAAATTATAGCCCTTTGCAAAAGGTACTTGATATTTTCCTTTTCTTTGAGTTATCCTTGTTTTCATTGTTGAGATTCAATAAGCTTACATTCCAATAAATTTTGAATTCTTAAGACTAGGAAGCTCTTATATCACTCTTGAAAAAGGCCAGTCACCGAATTCTTCAAAAAGCCAAGTTGGTTTGTTACCCTAAAAGCCCCAAACAATTAATTCCCCCCAAAAAGAAAACATTGGTAGTGTTGTGAATGAAAAGTGAAGAGATTGCCTTAGTACGGTTTCTAGCTCAGTTTGGAGAGTTAAAGGAGCGGAGGAATGGCCTACCTGTGGTGGTCAACACGACTACTGGGCGAAAGCAGCAGGAACCGAAGGAACAACCTATCAAAGATCCAGTAAGTATGAACTTTTGCATGTTCTCATTTTTTTTTTAGCTTAAATCAGTTCGGGGAACTTTCCCAATGTCCATTTAGCTATTGAAAAGTTTTCAGCTTGTCTCTTACACTGTATTTGGTAGACTGGGAAGTGTATGCGCTGTTAATAACTAAAGCTCCCATGTAGCTACTACCAATGCATTAGATATAGCCCTGGAGTTACAATTATTATTTCTTTCTGTTACAAATTTAAGTAGTCAGTTTTAATTTTCATTTTTGTTTTCGTATTTTTTCTTCCAGAAACAAGTGTTTGTTGTCATGTAGTTATCAATCTGAGGAAAACGTATGCCACAAAGAAGAAAAGAACAGCCACCACCCATGTCTCAGTATTAATGCTGTCTAATTAAAGACAGCAGCAGAAGCCATATGGTCTATCAGACAGGTTTATCCCATACAGAATAATAATAAATAAATAAATATCTTAATTGACCACTCCCCCAATGGGGCTTTTTAGGGTCAATGAAACCAAATGATGAAACAGATAATGCAAATGAACATAACATGGTTAAAAATCCCAACTGGCAGGAGGCAGACCAGTTGGCTATTTACAAGCATGACCAAGGAGTTGAACTAGGGTCTNNNTGTAAACAAAAGCTGTGCATCTGCTCAAAAGTGAAAATAATTGATACTGAAAGCCACCATGCTTAATGAATTGCATCTCAAAACGCGGCACTTCTAGGTAACGAAAATTGCATTGAATTGCGTGACAGAAGTCACCTGTGTTACAAATCAATCATTAACTATGACCTCGATATAACAAACATGTTGGTCATTTCCCCTCAAATTCATTATATTGAGGTTTTCGATATAACGAACCCTCGATTTAACGAACAAATTTGGCCAGTCCCTAGTGACTTCATTAAATCGAGGTTCCACTGTACTTCAGTAATTAGAATAAGAATTAGAATATTATACCAGTGATGAACTTGAAAATTTTGCCTTAGGTTATATAATTTTATTTAATACAAAGCGCTTTTGGACATTAATGGAAAAAGCGCTATATAAATGATTAAATGATCATCATCATCATCATCATAATTATTATTATCATTATTATTATTATTATTATTATTATTAATTAAAACACTGTTCAAAATAACTGTATTTCTCACCTCTGGTGGGTCAAATGTATCAGAGTTGTTTGTCCATTCTTTTTGCATGGTATCCTTCACATTACTAAATGCTTTCCTTGTTGCATGGAAACAGGAATAGCTATAAAAAAAGAACAAAGACAAAATGTGAACAGTTAGATGATTTAGTTACTGTTACATTTCATAAAATTAAGCTATGCCAAGTTAGTAATAATTATAAATAATCACCCTTACTTACATGGTAACATTTCTCCTAATTACTCAATAGCACTTAACAATAACTACATCCAAGTTCTACTTAAACTGGTACTGACAGCATATCCCAAAAGTGGAGTTTTTCTAAATACTAGGTTTGTGTTCAGATCACAAGGCTCTCTAATCCAAACAATGTTAATGTCAGAATTTTGCATCTTTCTCAGATCCTTATTATGATACTTGCATGTAATTCAGTTACTTCGTGGCCAGTAACTGTAAGCTATTGCAAGCCTTGTAAATAACAGCATTTACTGCGACCACCATTTACTAAACCCTTCAATAACATGCAAGAGTCTCAATCAACAGTTTCGTGTTTTGCTGCTGTCAATCATCTTAGCAGACCTCTCAGGTGACAGAAGTTTACTTCAATGGGCTTAAAAGGTCACTCTGTGGGTTGTGCCATTATTTCTTTTTTTCAAGGTTGTCGTCATAATACTTAATGAGGCCAAACTTTGGTCATTGTTTTGTGTTTTCCCTGACAAACTCTTAACCCTGGTTTACACTTGTGAGATAAGCATAACAGAGTGAAAAAAGCACAAGCATAAGCACAAGAAAAAGAAACATTTTTTCTTGTACATAACTAGATCAAGTTTGGAAGTTCAATAAAGCAACGTTGACCAAAATAACCTGACACCTTTTGGAGATTTCTAAAGATTACCTGAAGACTTCCATAG